TGATGATAATGATCTTACGCATAAGCTAATGTATTATTAAAGTGATTTATCTAAATAAACTGTATATCAGAAAATTGAGATGAGAATATTACTGACACATCTGGTCATACTTTTGGATCTCTTTTTGCTTGTGTCAAGCTTATTCATAAGTGTCCTTGTCATTGTACCCAAATTTAATGATTTTAACTTTCAGGTGAATGCAGCACTACAGGAAGGAGCTCATGGAGTTATGGTTGGGCGTGCAGCTTACAATAAGTATGAAGTATAATTTAATATGCAATAATCACATTTTTATTTTGAGTATTCTATATATGCCTTTCTGTGTTACACCTTTATTTTTGGTATGGCTTACGTTGATAGCTGAAGGTATGTATAACCGTGACTGGGTGGTGGTTACTGTTAATCTTGAAATAGTAAACTTAAGAGCAAACTCCATGAGTTCCTAGCTATGAACCTATGTTTAATTAGTCTTCTTTATTCCGCCTAAAAAGAGATACTGGCATGTTATTGGTTTTCTTCACTCTACATGTTTGTATTATTTTTTCTTCTTCAATTAGGGTAGCTGAGAATTCTAGTCATATTGTTTTCCTCAAATATATTTATAATTTAAATTGATCAAGTTCGAACCATATGTACGCGCATGTCATTAAAAGGGAAGAAAAGCCACATAAATATCTTGTTCATGAACTTTTTTGATCAACGATTAAATAGAACGAGATTTTTGGATGTTCAGTTTGTTACAAACCTAGGGTTTTGAGTTGATAATGGGCCTTATAGGCCTGGGCCTTAGATATACTTAACACCCCCCTTCAAACTCAAGGTGAACACAAGGTGGAGGTGGAGGTGGAGGTGGAGGTGGAGGTGGAGGATCCGAAGCATTGAGTTTGAGCAAGTGAAGCCGATGTTGTTCTCTAGTTTGTGCTTTAGTAAAAAAATCTGCCACTTGCAGTTCGGAAGGCACATACTGAAGAACAATTGTTTTCTGATGACAATGAGATCGGGTAAAGGAAGCATCGACCCCAATGTGTTTTGTAAGCTCATGCTTCACGGGATCATTGGCAATTTGTATGGCTCCAGTATTATCACAAAGAAGAGGTGTAGGAGCATCGCATGAAATACCAAAATCAGCCAACAACCACCGAAGCCATATAATCTCTAAAGTGGTAGTGGCAAGTGCTCGAAGTTCTGCTTCTGTGCTAGAGCGTGATACAGCAACCTGTTTCTTGGACTTCCATGTAAGAGGAGAAGAACCAAGAAAAATGCAATAACCAGTAACAGAACGACGATCTGTTGGATTACTCGCCCAAGTAGAGTCCGAATAAGCATGAAAGCGGACTATCACGAGCATAGAACAAGCACTGAGATGATGTGCCCCTTAAATACCGTAACACACGAAGCAAATGTCCAAAATGAACTGAAGTAGGAGCACTCACAAACTGACTCAATATATGAACAACATGAGCAATGTCGGGTCTGGTGACAGTAAGATAAACCAGACTACCCACAATATGGCGATATCGAGTGGGATCCTCAAGAAGCGTACCGTCAGTGGGGCGAAGCTGCAAGTGAAGATCCATAGGTGTAGCCGCTGTCCGATTATCAGTAATACCAGAACGAACAAGAAGATCTTGTATGTACTTCGCCTGAGAAAGGTAATAGCCCGAGTCAGAGTGCATCACCTCAATGCCCAAGAAGTAGCTAAGAGGACCCAAATCGGACATTTGAAACTGCTGACCAAGTTGTTTCTTCACATGAGAAATATGATCGGCATCATCTCCCGTAATCAGCATATCATCAAAATATAAAACAAGTAGAGTACGTCCACGTGGAGAGACATGAATAAACAAGGCGGGATCATGATCACTAGGGGAGAAACCAGCAGCCCGTATGACAGAAACAAAGCGCTCAAACCAAGTATGTGGAGCCTGTTTGAGACCATATAAAGCGCGACGAAGTCGACAAACGTGTCCGGAGGGGGCATTAACACCCGGTGGTGGCTGTATATAAACTTTCTCATGTAGATCACCATGAAGAAAGGCATTCTTCACATCCATCTGAGATATAGTCCAAGTACGAGTAGAAGCCACCGCAATCAGAGTACGGACAGTGGTCATGTGAGCAACGGGAGCAAAAGTCTCATCATAGTCTCGTCCTTGAGTCTGCTGAAAGCCTCTAGCAACAAGACGAGCTTTATATCTCTCAATGGAACCATCCGACTTCGTCTTAATCTTGAAGACCCACTTACACGTGATAGGTACAGCATGTGACGGTAATGGAACAAAATCCCAAGTGCCGGTACGATCAAGTGCAGCAAGTTCCTCGGACATAGCAAGTTGCCATTCTGGAATACGCGAAGCTTCCAGATAAGTGGATGGTTCATCAACAATAACACTCGCACGTGGAAAACCCAACCGGTCAGGAGGCTCAATAGTAGCACGATCACGTAAATTATATCTTTGACGAACCATAGACTCTCCATGAATGCCGTGTGACACATCAGAATCAACAGTGTCGTCTAGGACGGGAGTGGCCGAGACAAGCGAATGAGGCGGAAGCGTTGTATGACCTAGTGGACGACGAGTATAAACCTGTGTGATAGGTGGTCTGTATGAGGAAGGCTCATGAGAAACGGGTGGTGAAGACTCATCATGAGAGGTGGGGACATCATCAGGAGGAAAAGAAATAGGAGGAAGACATAAGAAGGACGTAGACTTTGTAGAAGAAGGAGAAGATGTGGGGTGTGTGGAAGGGTTATAAAAGAAAGGACGATCCTTGACAAAGGTTACATCACGAGATATACGCATGCGACGAGAAGAAGAATCATAACAACGATAACCCTTATGCTCAGGACTATACCCCAAAAAGACACACTCAACCGATTGAGGAGTCAATTTAGTGCGCTCACGAGGAGCAAGTAACACATAACATGTACATCCAAAAACTCGAAGATGATCATAGCTAGGGGGAAGACCAAAAAGAACCTCACCAGAACACTTACCAGACAGTTTGGATGACGGCTGTCGGTTAATAAGGTAAACAACTGTAGACACAGCTTCTCCCCAAAAATGAGAAGGAACAAAAGAGGCAATGAGAAGGGTTCGAGCAGTCTCAATAAGATGGCGGTGTTTTCTCTCCGCAACACCATTCTGAGCATGTGCACCAGGACAAGAGAGTTGGGCAAGGGTACCCTCAGAGGTTAAAAACTGACGAAAATTGTCAGATAAATACTCACCACCAGAATCAGAACGAAAAACTCGAATAGGATTAGAAAACTGAGTATGAACCATGCGAGCAAAATCCTTATAAATGGAACACAACTGAGAACGGTGTTTCATAAAATATATCCAAGTATATCGAGAATAATCATCAATAAAAATAACATAATATTTATTGCCACTTTTTGTAGGAAAAGGGGATGGACCCCATACATCAGAGTGGATAAGATCAAAAGGCCTAGCAGAATGAGAAATACTAGTAGAATATGGGAGTTGCAACTGTTTCCCGAATTTGCAACCCTTACAATGAAAATTAGACTCAATAGAAGTACGACCTAAACAACCATTACTAATCAAAGTAGACAAACGAGACCCGCTCAAATGACCAAGACGATGATGCCATTTGGCGAAAGATGAGACGGAAGACGATGCAATGGATGACACACGAGCGGTAGAACCAGGTGGAGAGGGAAGATGCAAAGTGTCTAGAATGTAAAGACTCGAAGAACCCCTACGGCGATGGCCAGTCCCAATCACAGTCCCGCTTCGACGATCCTGAATAAAACAAGATGAGTCATCAAATCCAACAAAACAATTTTGATCAGTGACTTGACCAACTGAAAGAAGGTTCATAGATAACTTAGGAACATAAGAGATATTAGGAACTGAAAAATGTGAATTGCATAAAGAACCCTGATGAGTAATATGACAAGATGTGCCATCAGCTGTCTGAATAGAAGTACCATCCGTGACCGATTTGCAGGCAACCAACTGGGACTGATCAGAAGTCACATGGAATGATGCCCCCGAATCGAGAACCCAAGACTGAGGAGCATTGACAGGCGAGGCAGCAGCAACGGAGGCAGACCCTTTAGTAACAGGAGTCGTACCACGAGTCCGAGCAGCACGACGTGCACGGTACTCGGCCAATTTTTCTGGATGCTGAGCAAAATAATTTTCGGCAATATGACCCGTTTTCCCGCAATGCTGACAAGAGTCTAAAGAACCACCTTTTGGTGCATTAACCCGTTGGGAGGGTGCCCGATGAGAGGCAGCCAATACACCATGAGATATTGTTGACGAAGCAAGTGACATAGAGCGGAGACGAGTCTCTTCAGCAATCAAATCAGACAATGCTTGTGCCATGGTTAGAGTAGAAGAGTTATGGAGCAACCGTGTACGAATAGACTCAAATTCTGCTCTAACCCCCATGACAAAGCGGTATATAAAAATTTCTCCACAAATTTATGTGCTGAACACTCCTCTTCCACGCATGGAGGCACCATGGAGATCAATGGTCCCATCAAACGATCAAAAGCTGAGTAGTACTCATCAATGGACATATCATTTTGTTCAATGACATGAATTTGCTGCATAAGTGTGTGCAAGAGTGCACCACTATCCTGAACGTAGCGTTGTTGCAAATAGGACCACATAGCCGTAGCTGTTCGAAAAGTGGAAAGGCTCATAATCATGGACTGCTTAACACTATTGACGATGGCAGCCATCACTTTCCCGTCATTAATTTGCCACATTATGATCTCAGCAACATTGCTATTGTCCACTTTTCGTTCAGGGCCATCATCGGTTAAGTGGAAAGGTAGACCATAACCCCTCAATACTGTTTCCACAGAAAAAGCCCACTCTCGATAATTTTGGCCATCGAGAGTGATATTGATAACAATGGCATTGAGTTGCGACATGATCCGACGACAGATGACAAAATACCTCCGCAATAGGCGGGAGATATGCAAAAAAAACAAATAAATATGAGAGACGAGGTTGCAACGGGAAGCGTAAAATCACAAGACGGACAAGTGAAGGCTCAAATCAGGAACTGAACAGTGTCGGGATCGATCGGAATAATCGAACCCTAACTTTGACAAGTGGCTGATCTGAAAAACGCCAAAACAGACACCAAAACAACTCCAAAACAGGAAAGGCAGAATCCCCTCGAAATTCCGATCCCACGGAAGTTCGCCGGAAAAAATTCCGGCGAGCGCCGGCGCGTGGGTCTGGCGGCAGAAAATTCCGGCGGCGCGTGTAGCTCACACGCGCGGCTTCTGACGGCGAAACTCGGCCGGAAAGTTCGTCTTGAGGCGGCGATTTGAATGATGTGGGAGGTGAGATCGAACGAAAGAAAAAAAATATTTATGTGAAAGTCTCTGATACCATGTTACAAACCTAGGGTTTTGAGTTGATAATGGGCCTTATAGGCCTGGGCCTTAGATATACTTAACACAGTTAAGGTAGATATGTGCAATTGTTATAGGAAGAATCAGACATAAAGAAAACAGAGAATAATGTGAGAATACGATGATGTAATAGTATGGTAGAAAGATTCGTCTATATCTTTCTACCAAAATATCTATCTCTTAGTCTAGAAAGTTTTTGTTCTTCTGATCTTTTGCGTCCACAATGGATGAAAGCATTGTTCTATATTATTTTTTTTTCCTTTTTTCTCACACAAGGGTAAGATTACCTTAAAGTTTATATTTACTTTTCATTACCTTTGACTCTGAAAGCCATAATAACTATTTTCCAGTCCGTGGAATCTTTTGGGGCATGTTGATAGTGCAGTTTATGGTGCACCTCTAAGCAGTCTAACTCGGCGACAGGTTGGTCAGCTAGCTTGATGTCGTCCCTTGTATTTCTTTGATTATCAATGAAATGTTAGTTTTTCTTATGCAAAACTATGATTAGCTGCATGTAATTTCTCTGCTTAGGTTCTTGAAAAGTACCAGGTGTATGGTGATTCAGTCTTGGGACTATATGGACCTAAACCAAATGTCCGTGAAGTTATAAAAGTATGGACACTATCTCTTTACATTTTATCTTAGATTAAAAGTCTACCTTCATTTGTTGAGCTGTTTTGAGCATTAAAGTAAGCTGCAAGCCTTTGATGTTATGTTGCTGCGAATGGTAACATATTTTTTTATTGTTTGTGCTTTTAATTATGCGTACTATTTCTGTATTATTTGGACATGTAATGTGGTTTCTGATTATCCGTCAATAATGCAGCCTTTGCTTGGGTTTTTCCATGGGGAGCCGGGAAATGGCCTGTGGAAGCGCAAAGCTGATGCCGCTTTCATGAACTGCAAGGTACTTCATAGTTCATACACATACCAAATGTTACATATCAAATTACATTTTGTAGATTAATTGAAATTCATGTTGTTCAATGAAAAGGGTATATTCACGACTCAAATAATTTTTTTTTTGTCTTTTTTATTTATTTACTATTTTAATTTGCCATCTTACGACTTTTCTTTCCATGGACGGGGTTGGTGTTTGGCTCATCTCGGTTTTTCCAAGTGATGCATAATCTACTTTGGATATTAGTGAAGTTAATTTTCTTTCTTCATTTTTTGGAAGCTATGCCATTTGATAAAATACTCTTGCAAATATCTGAATGTACTTTTCTGGACTTGCAGACGATAAAAGCCTTTTTTGAGGAGACCCTTGTGGCTATACCAGATTCAGTCTTGGACAAACCTATTGTTGAAGCACCGATAAGTTTCCCGGATGTTTTTGCTGATGCCAAGAGAGTGTTGCCTTCTCCCTATAGTGTGAAGAAAGAGGAAGAGCTTATGTATGCTTAGCAGTCATCTTTTTTTAAGGTTTGCAATTGTAGGCTGCCTCAAAAGTTTTGCCACATATCATAGAGTGGAGAGCTTGACAATCCCATGGATCAACAATTGCACTCAAATGTAATGTGTATTGTTGGTGAATTGTTAATGCACGTTACAATAGTAAGGACCTCTTGTGCCACCATATATTGTTCAAATGTCCAACTCAGAAATTATTTATGACTGTAACGTGCTCTCTCTTGTTCATGAGGAAGGCGTTTTTTTTTTTTTTTNATTTTTTTTTGTTTTTTTGGGAAATGGTAATTGTGTAAGTTGCATTTTTTTTTTCGTTTGTCTTAACATATTAAAATTGAAGAACTATTTATTAATTAGTTCAACAAAATATATACACTCTTCATTTATTCAAAAGAAGAAATAGTAATTTTCATCTCGCTTTGAAGACGGAATAAGTTTTGCACAATGTCAAATAATAAGTTAACTTCTTCACTAACAAAGTACGAAATAAATTAACAATAGACTATGCGGCAGACGAAATAATTCTGAAAGTGCGAAATAATTATGCGATAGGCTATGCAAATTAAAGACAAATAATTGATAAAGTGCGAAATAGTTATGCTTTCACTAAGCGACAAACAAACGAACATAATTGATAAAGTGCGAAATAATTATGCGATTAGCTATAGGGCACACCGAAGATAATTGATAAAGTACGAAACACTTATGCGATCAATTATGTGACAGACAAGTGAAGATAATTGATAAAGTGCGAAACAATTATGCGATATACTATACAATAATAATTGATAAAGTGCATAGTTATGCAATAAACTATGCGACAAAATATGCGAACATAATTGATAAAGTGCGAAACAATTATGCGAAAGACAGACAAAGATAATTGATGCGAAAAGCTATGCGATAAACAGACAAAGATAATTGATAAAGTGCGAATATATTATGCGATGTACTACGCGAAAAACAGGCGAAGATAATTGAACAGACGAAAATAATTGATAAAGTGCAAAAATATTATGCGATAGATATGCGAAGGACAAACGAATATAATTAATGTGAAAAGCTATGCGACAGACATGCAATGATAATTGATAAAATGCGAAGAAATTATGTTGCGATGTACTATGCGAAATACAAACTAACATAATTGATAAATTGAGAAACAATTATGCGATAAAATATGCGAAAGACATGCAAAGATAATTTATGCGAAAAGCTATACAACAGACAGACGAAAATAATGAATAAAGTGCCAAAAAAATTATGCGAAAAGATATGCGATAGACAGACGAAGATAATGGATAAAGTAAGAAAGACTAATGCGAAGATATATGCATGGATAAAGTGCGAAAGACTAATGCGAAGATATATGCAACAAATAGACGAAGATAATTGCGAAATAGTTATACGATAACCTATGCGACAGACAAACGATGATAACTAATAAATTCGATAATATTATTGGATAAACTATGCGACAGACAGATGAAAATAATTGATAAAGTGCGACACTACTATGCGATAAAATTCGGGATAGAAACGCGAAGATAATTTATAAAGTATGAAATGTTTATACAATATGATAGGTGACACACAAGACAAGTTCATTTAGTAAAGTGCAAAATACATTATGTGATAAAGCATGCAACAAACATACAAAGGTAATTGAGCAAGTGCGAATTACTTATGCGATAAAGTACGACAGACATGCGAAGATCCAGAGCAATTGCGAAACAACTTATGCCATAAGTATGCAACAAACACACGAAGTTAATTGACAAAGTGCGAATTACTTATGCGATAAAGTATGCGATAGGCAGACGAAGTTCAACGGACAAGTGAGAAACAAATTATGAGATAAAGCATGCAACAGATAAGCGGAATTAATCGAGTAAGTGCGAAATACTTATGCGGTAAACTAGGCGACAAATTGACAAAAATAATCGAGCAAGTGAGATCTCAGCACGCGATAAATTACGCGACAGAAAGTCGATGATAATCAAGTTAGTGCGATACCATTATGCCTTGAACTACGCGATTCGACAACTATGCGAACGCGAGAGGAAGAAAATTAAAAATTATAAAACATTTATGCGATAAACTACGTGACAAACATGTCAACATAATCGATAAATTGCGAAATTTTAATGCAATAAACTACGTGACTAGCAGGTCAAGATAATCGATAAAATGTGAAATATATTATGCAATAAACAAGATGACAGTCAGGCTAAGATAATTCAACAAGTGCGATCTAGTTATACGATAAACTATGCGACATAAAAGCGAAGTAAATTGAGTAATTGCGTAAAGATGTAGAAATTGTACGAACAATTCGGTCAATCGCGGGTCGCGCATTTTAGTTGCAGATCAGCTTCTTACATTTGTTTCTACATTTTCTAGTTTCTTCTCAATTATCAACTTTTCGTGTAAGCCTTAGAAAGGTCGTTGACTCGGGAACGCTGTACAAGAAACACGTAAAGGAGGTTTTCAACATCTTGAATCACCTTAATTTCTAAGAGTAGACTGCAAGGCAATGAAGCGAAGGATCGTGAGTCGGGCCGAGATCAACAACAGGAGGAACATGATGAAAAACGATAGGGACGACGACTTGTATGAACTGATCTAACAACGCTGATCAAAGACGAGAAATTTATTTTGTATTACTTATTTTAGTTACATACAATCCATTTTTCGTCTTTAAATTTAATAATTTTTAATTTGTTTTCAAAATTTCACAAAAGATATGTTAAAAGTGATCATCTTTCGACTATTTTCGGCACACACTAATCCGTATATAAAATATGTTAAAAGTTATCATCTTTTGACGATTTTCGGCACACACTAATCCGTATATAAAATAATAATAAATACATATCCTTATAAATAAAAAACTAATGACAGATTATTCATTAGTTTTTTATTAGTTTTTAAGATTGTTCATTAGTTTTTATTTATAAATAAAAATCTGTCATTAGTTTTTTATCCTTATAAATAAAATCATCATTTATTAATTAAATGATTTATCTATGAAGATTATTATGACATAACTCATGAAAATTGTTATAATATATGACAGACAAGTCTATATGTGTTATGAGTTTCATTTTGAATAAAACTAGTAATGCAACTTTTTATGAGTATTTGATTTTTTTTTTAAAATACAATTAATTTTATTAGAATATGTCAAGTTTTTAGGTTTTAATTAACTGTGTAATTCTATTTTTATTCTTAAATTTTTTATCGTGGTTTTTTAACTAACACCCATAAAATATACTATATACGGGCGTGTTTTATTACTATTGATACTGTTAGATTAGAAAGAGGTTTATAATTAATAATTACATAACGAAGGTTCTCGTTTCGAAAGCAAATGAGCTGATTTATAAGTCAAAATCCTAGGCAAAGATCTACGAGAGCAAAAAACAGAGGAAACAAACATTTTATCATAGAAAAGAAATTTATTACATGTAGCCATTATTATAATATAATGGGTGGTAAACAAATTAGTGTCTATTGGAATTTTCAAAAAATTTCTAACATTTTAACTCAACTATTTTTTTAACTCAATCTCAGTATCATTAAAATTATCAATATAATTAAATAATATCAATCAACTATTCATACACACCACATCAACCTTAATTCACTATTCATCAACTCACATTATTTTAGCTAACCATCACTTCAAATCTTTCTCCTACTTTTATATCAAATCAATTTTAATTATTTTATTTTAAATATTATTTTAATATACACACTAACAACTAATCATACCACATTTTTTAAAAAACTGAAATACTAATTACCGCACCCATTTTCATTTTACCGCACCCAAAAATGACATTCATACCCTTACTAACATAAAAAAAAAAAAAA